CAAGTACTAGGGCCCAAGTTCCACTGCCCCAGTTCCTGGTTTGTGCTGAGCCTTACTTGCTAAACTAAACAGTGTTACCTCAGTAGACCTTCAGCTGAATCAAAGTGAAAGTCTAGAAAGTCCATTGAAAGTGGAACAGCTTTATAAGAGGAAGGAGAAAATGTCCTCCACCCTTATAAACTGATAATTTGCATGTTCTGAAGCAGAGAAAGGAAATGAACTAGTGTCTCCCACATCCTGAGTGGTCTAACCACTGAAATACTGCATGGCGGGAAGCTGTCACTGTACCTGGTGGTGTATTTGTATGCAAGCAGTAGAATATGGTCCTGTTCAGTTTCTGGAAGATGGTGGTTAGATGTCTGCTTTGATCTGCCTTCACAGGTGCGAAGGAAGGAGGTGGTTTGGGTAAAGCTAAGCCTAAGTGAGGGGCAGAATCTAATGTTTACCCAGGCACATGTTTCCTGTTGGCTAACCCAAGCAGATCCCCCTTGGCCCAGCCCAGGTTTGCAACTTCCACCCAAGGCACCTAACACCCCTGAGAGTGCTGTGTGAGCACTGAAGCTTGGGGTTCCACTGCCAGCCTTGCGAGCTGAAGGCAGGTCTTGGGGGACATCACTGTCCTCTATCAGCAGGGTTCACTCCTGATTCTTAACTCAGCAGGCATACAGGATGGGTGCTCTGTAAACACCTGCTGCCAATTACATTGGTTATATTTTCTAACTGCAGTCAAGCAGAGTGTTGTATCCAACTGTTAATTCTAAATAAGGTGTTTTTCTGGAGAAATGAGGCAGTTTCTGCCTGTAAAATACAGCTCCTATTCCTGAAATCTCTAACTTTCTGCCTGGCCAGGCCCAGCTGTTCTGTCGATGGGGATGAGTGAAGACAGTTGTGTCATGTCATCTAGAAATACTGCAAATGGGGGACATATTTCTCCACATTCTCCTTAGGGTAAACTTCTGTACATCTCCGCTCACATCTGTACATCTCCACTGATGTTGGTAACAGGAGCAGGAATTGTTTCAGTATTGGACTCTGATAGCTGCCAAGCATCAGTTGTGAAGTCCCTGCTTTGGTAGGTAGTTTGATTCACTGGTGCTTTCTCTTGGTTTTCCAGGTCAGTGAATCACCAATTTTTGTGCCTGGTGTTTGGGGACCATATTTCTCTGCAATGGTGCCTGGATTGTGGTTGAACGAAGGAGGTCAAAGTGCTACAGGAAAACTGGTAAGTGTTTGGAGACATAGAGAGACTCCAAGGCATAACTGTTGTCATTTGGGATAGCTTCACTGTCAATTCAGGCAGAGCTCTGCCTGAAATGCCTTCATAAGATCATAGGAGATACCAGGCTGCTGAAACAGCTGAAACAATTAGATTAGTGTTATATCTCTTACAAACTCTTAATTGGTATATGGGTAGGTGATTATAAATGAGGCATGTATTCCTTTTATGATGGTGGTGATGATTATTGTTATTATTTTACAGGCAAATAGGCCTCATTCATTACTTTAGCGGGAGGCTGAGATAGACTTTGAGATCAAGAAAATGATACATATTGTGTTATATAGATCTATTGTGCTCACTGATGGGCATAAAAAGACATGTTGTATGGACAGATAGTAATATATGATCATGTTATCCTGCCTAGATAGACACTGCATGTGATGTCACCTCAATTCTTTCCTCAAGTACAAAGAGTTTAACTCTGTTAGCTTAATTTAATTTATCAATAAAAATTAAAACCAGACTGGATTCTCTAAAAATTCATATTTACAGGAAGGTTCTCGGAACAAAACACTGATATCAAATTTAAAGAGAGGCTAAATGTATACAACACTATTTAGGCTTGAGTCCAAAAGTGTCAGCAAGACCTTAGTGACTGCTTAACCCTGGAGCTTCTAAAGCTCCCCATGTGCCTCCCTGCTCAGTCTGTGGAAATCCTGACTGCCTTAGGGCTGAGCTGCAAGAACCTGTTGGGAAGCTGCAGGAGGCAGGCTCAAGCTCTGGGTGTCCCCTTGTAAGCTCACCAGAAGTTCAGGTGGGTTTGGCCTTTCACACATTGCAAGTGTAATTGCTCTCTGACTCAGACCTAGTACCACCCACCTTTTAAAAAGCCTTGAGATCAGAGAACATGTCCAGGACATAGTAGATTGGGGCATCACTGCATTTATACATTCCATGAGGAACAGTCACTGAATGAGAACTGGAAATCATCCTGGATTGGTAAACCCAGACACACTCTAAGTGCTCAGATGTGAAATGGTGCTCCCTCCTGGACTCTCTCCTTGGCCGTGTCAGCCTGACATTCCTCTCTGTGTCACAGCTTCAGTGGGAGAGTCAGCCCTCTTCCTCTCTTTCAGCTTCTCTTCCCATCCCACCTCCAGTCCATCCCTAGCCCCATGGCTGAAATCGCTCTTGCAGCAGGTGGGATGTGTGTGCTTTACATTTTTCAGGTCAAGATTGGTCTAGGACCAAAATGTATCCCATTTTATAGGCAACTGCTACAACCAGAAGTAAAATTACATATATA